ACTTCTTTTTAATGAGGCAAAACGCAGTGACATTTTTAAGGCTTACAGATTATTCTTGGAGGGTTACTTACATAACCCTCCAAGAATCTTTACCAGTAAAAGATTATTTGAGAAGTAGCTTATTTGAAAAATAAGGGTAACTGTTTCATTACCATAAATAAATGTGTAATATTAAATGTATTTTGTACATCAAGGCTACTTGGTATCATGTGACATTGTTGATCCGGAGCAAACAACACACTGATTGTTTAGACTAAGTAGTACAGCATGAGAATCAAAGACACACACACAGAGAAACTCACATAGCCACAGCGAGCCAAGGAACAGCAGCAGGATAAGGATAGCTGCAGCAGCCTTGCTCTTTACACCCATACTGAAGTCCAGTGTGGGGCCGTCCAGTCTGCCTCTTGTCCCTTTTTCTTTCCTTTATCTTTTAATTCCTCTTTTCACATGAGTTCTGGTCCCCTGGCACTGGCTGTCACTGAAATTACTTTCTCCCAGACCACTGCCTCCACCCCCCCCCACCCTCCTCTCCAATCCTTCATACTCCTCCCCAAAACCTCAAACAAAACCTCCTGTCCACCACTATGGCCCCTATCAATCTTTAACTATTCTTGCTCTATTTTGAAACTGCCCTTTTCCCTCGTCACCTCCTCAAGCCCGAGGTTGCGATTTCTATCCAGCTTTTTCTGCGACTTTGTTTAAAATCTGTGTGGCTTCCCGTCCTGCCTTTGTGATTTCAGAGCTGCCTGTCTGTCGCGTTGCTCAACCCCAGGGTCCAGAGATCAGCTGAGTGTGGCCAGTAGCTGATAAAGCAGAGCCAACACAGGGTGTCCTCCTGTAACCTCCCGCTATATGTGCACTATATTCCTGGTCAGCTTGAGGAAACACTTGCTCCCTTCCCTCTCCTCCAATGACCACCACTTTCCCTCCTCCCTCTTCTCTCCTCTCGCTCTCTCTATAACTAATTCATACACTCCATGACAGTATATCAATCATTAGGCAGTGTGTTAAAGTCACCTATCTTTTGTATTTAATTTTGGTGGCTAACAGACATGTTAATAAATAATAATCCAAACTTGCACTGGTCGAGATGCCAAAAGGAACAAAGATTTCCACACATGAAACTCTATTTGTAGAAAAATGTGACTCAAAAGGGAAGTGAATCTTTTGTTTTTATTAAAGAAGCTATTTCCTCTTTCCTGTCATCATATTTTGCACAAAACCTAAATCATACAAATATTACTTTGGACTACTACATGCAAATTATTAAACTTTTTGTTTAAATTAGTGACATCTAAGCCATATTAGTAAAACATTGCGGACTGATGTGGCTCATAAAAGGTGTTCTCATCCTTATTGCCTCTGATAATGATAATTGTTGGAAGCTCAGAGGTTGGTCCTGCTATCACACAAGGAGGTACAGACATTGAACGCCACACTCAAGCCTGGCCGGCTGTGCTCCTAAAGAGGGACTCAACAATGCTATTTCTTCTGCGGATGAGCGGGAAAAAAGTGAAAGCAGGGGCATTCATTCCTAGTTTGGGGCGGGGGCTGGTCACAGAGCTTTTATTCTCCGCAACCAATGGCTGATCTTGTCCAAGATAGGCAGCAACTGAGAAGGGGAGGCTAAATCCCTGGGAAACCTTGGGACACATTCAGAAACCATTTGATACCACACAGAACAGAAAACAGAGAATACCTTTATTGTCACTGTAGCATGTTAGGTGTACAATAAAATTAAGTGCAGTCTCAACAGTGCGAAGATCACTCACAGCAGTCATAAAAAAGTATGCAAAAACCATAAACTATACAAAACTATATAACAGATTGTTTTAAAAACAGACAAAAGCAACCTTTCTTCAATCTCCCAGATTGCGAAACACTTTATCACACAGAGCACATTCATGTGGAAATTGCTACATTATGCAGCTCTGGGATAAAAAGTCTTTTCAGTCTATTTGCTCCTTTTTTAAATTATTTTTTTTGTAATCTCTGCTATGGCGCGGTGGTGTCCAGGTGTGAGATGGATCTAATATGATATTATATGGTATTAAATTAAACAAAAAAAACAGCTTGTATTTCCTATTAAACGCTGAGATGCAATAACAGACATTACAAAAGCATATAGCCAGCTGGTGATGTGAACATGAAGCGATTGAGATTCAAACTGTGTTTCTCACACTGTTTTTTATACTCCAAGGTTACACGGGAGGCAAAGATAAAACCACACTGGATTTTCCAGTAAAGTTGCTGCACAGCATTACTGCACTACTGAAAACCCCATCTGGATAATCCAAACATTTAACCACAGTGCTGGGATTACTCATGCTATCAAGTTTGGTGTTTGTTGAAATCGTTCCAAAGTTCCCAAACAAATTTCCCATTTCAACAGAGCAAAAAGATCCCGAGCTGGGTGAGAAAATATAATAACAGCAGTGTAGTCATTTAAAAACATAAAAAGTTGTATTTATTGATTATTGGAGGATTGACCCCTAATGACTTGTAGGCTGAAGTTTCAGACTTCTCTGTTGTCTTCTCTGCAACAAGGTTTCAGAGTTTTATTTGAATTCCAAAACAAAAGTTCCAATTCTGGAAGTGATTGAATATCTATGATTTGTTTCAGGCACTGCCCGTGTCATTTCATTTTCAGATTAACCCAACAATATTTTGATCCCCCAGCTTCCCTTGTAGTAGCTATATTTGAAACTCTAGTTGTAAAAACAGTTACACACACGTGTCTCACATGTCGCACTAACTGGCCTCCATGTGAGTTATTTTCTGATGCTAATCGGGTGGGCTTGAGAGTATAATGCTGTACTTTAGCAGTAGAGAAGAGGGTAACAAATATAAACACAGCACATTGTTCAGAGTGGTTGTAATGTGGAAACATTAACCTAAACAGAACATATTTTGGAAGGCTGTAGCTGAGAAGATAAAGCAGACCGTCTACTAATGTGAAGATTAGTGGTTTGATTCCTGCCTACTCCAGTCTGCATGACAAAGTATCCTTGGTCAAGGTACTGATCCCAAAGTTGCTCATGTCAGTGTGAATGTGTTTATATGTTAGATAGAAAGCACTTTGAAAGAAAGGTGCTTGTGTGAATGGGTGAATGAGGCATGTAGAGTATAAAAGCAGAAGGTTTATTACAATGAGGGAAAATAACAGCGTTTTGTTATTAATGTATAATGCATATATATAGACAGGTGGAAAAATGCAGGAAACCCACCATAAGTAATCTTAGTTAGGACACCTTAAGTGTTCTATGGCATAGATTTTACATAGTACGGGGCTCATAGCATATAATTCATCATCATCAAGTCACTCACTGAGCCCTGATGTCCTCTGGACAGGCCTCCCCTCGAACAGAAAGCTCCCATCAGGACAGAAAGATCACTCTGAACTTTGTATTGATTTGCTGTGACCCTTCCCTTTGACAGGACGAGTTGACTCCCACACAGTATAACAGAACCGCTAGTAGGGTTCAAAGGTTTAATGTTTTTTTCCTTTAATTTGACACCTGTTTGGATATAAAACAGCTCTGCTCTCCGGAATTTGAAGGCCCACAGCTCGAGCCTTTCTGCCTCTGAGCTCTGAGTGCGAGACACACAATCTGCCTTCTGGAGGCTCCAGTTACCTTAAAGAAGCTCAACTCTGTTTCCCCAATTGTATATTTAGAAGTACATCACATACTGTGCAACTCACATGGCACATTCCAAAAATCAGTCTGTTGCCCTTGCCACTGCAAAGAGACACTCCTTAGATTAATCACAGCCTTTATTATAACAACAAATCTAGTCTCTGTGTTTTAAATGAATAGCTAAAACAACCTGACAGGTCAGACTCTTGGGCTCCCTGGTTTCATGAGGTTTATGTGCAGCCCTTTAACCCCATTATTCTGCAGACACTATCTCACCGCTGAGGTTCTGCAAGGTTTACTGTAAGAATCAATACTCTGGACAAGCATAGGAGGTGTGCACCACCAGTCACCTGTTCACCCTGCTGTAACCTGTGGGATTTGGCCATTTCCTGCATAGATCTTGTTAAATGTTAAAGTTCTACGCAGGTCTAGTGGATACAAAGGTGAGTGACAGATCAAAGAGGAAACACCAACCACTAATCCTGTCAGTGACACTGGCCCAGTGCTGTGCACTGACCATACATCGATCTGACAACTGAAATTTTCTATCCTGATGACGCGAGTACTCATGCTGTATAAGGTCTCGCTTACAGGTCTCATTGCTACCTTCAGAAATATCTGGAATATCCTGGACACTTCTAGTTTTTCTCTAATGTTGTAGTTGCTATCTAATGATGATGATGATTATTATTGTGGGTGCCTGGAGAGTGACTGGAAGTCCTGGTTTAGTGCTTTCAGCTGGTGTGTAATCTGAACCCCGGATAGTGACAGCTGTGGTGGGTGACAGTCAGGACGTTTGGTAGGGGGATTTAGAGCTCTTCATCTGCCTTCAGTCTCGCTGTCTTTCTGTATCTCACTTTATATTTCAATATAGTGCAGCACAGCACAGCACGGTGCAGAGCAGCAGAGAGGTCCTGGAATACGATGGCAGTGCGTAGTCTTTGGATAGCTTTCGGAGTTGTAACTATTCTTGGGACTTTAGCGGGACTGGGTAAGTGACGCACTTGCAAACTTTTGGCACATCCTCGCTGACTGGCAGGAAAGTAATGTCTGTATTGACTGCGGCATGTCATGTGCACAGAGATAACCAGCTCTTCTTGTGGTGACTGGCAAGGTACAGAAAACCTGCTGTACTTTAGACCTCATGAAAACATGTAAAAAGTTGTAGAGGCAAACTAACACAGCTGTAAACTTGCATATATTGTTTTGTCCAGATCATTCTGGGGTAAAGCACAACTTTACCCCACGGTTTTTACACTGGTTTTTTTTTTTTTTTTTTAACTAGTTGGTTAATTTTCATTTTATCATGTTGCTGTATGGTTTGCAGTTAGGTTTTTGTAGGCCTGTGATGTAAATGCATTAACCTGGAAAGCACTTTAGGCCAACTACTGTTGTTTAAAATCTGCTATATAAATAAAATGACATGACAATATGAGGTAAGAGGATGTCATAAAGCTGCAATGAAAGCCAGGAGATGATGGGAAATTGAAAAACAAATACTTGCTTATGTCATTATTGAAATCCATTTGTAAATTCAGGATCTAAAGTTATGGTGGTTTGTTCTTGTATTTGAGGGGGGAAAGGTTTCTTGAACCCAGCTATTTGGTGGATATCACATTCATTACCAAATTCCTCTCAGACCAAGTACAGGTATGTGTAAGTGTCAAGCTGAAATATGGACTCTCAGTTTTTGTATTGATACATTAAAGGAATAGAAATCAAAGATTAAAATGCTGGAAATATGACTCGTGACTGTGGAACATCACAGAATAATGATAGAATCTCTTCATGCCTTGCACTTCAATAGAGGACTGTTGGAATTTTGAGATTAAATTGACACTGTTGTTACGATTCGATAGCAGATAACCAGATAAACTTATGATCTTGGTATGAGGTCAAATGTAATCCAAGTGTGATATCAGGAATCTCTGCTCCACCTCGGGTGTTAGTGTTTGTCTTCAGAACACGATGCGCTGGAATCCTCTTAGGAAGGTACCAGACACTTCTTCTTGTTTCTCTTCTTTTCTAAATCACATTAAAATATAACACACACATGCTCATGAGGAATTACTGTCAAAATGTCATTTTTTGTGTCTAAAAAAATAAATTACATTTTGACAGTAAACAGAATTTTGAATGTTGCTCATAGGACAGGAAGACACTATCAAGAGACATTAAGAACAGTATAGTGACTAAAATTCCTTGTACTGTTTTACTGTATGAATAATGAAGGAGCTTTCTCACCCTTAATTTCAGAAAACCATGTGGGCCTTTTTATATAGCCACAGGATTAATGAGCCATTGTCTGTCCTCGGCCACAAAATAAAATCTGAATCTCAGACGATGTTTTCCTTGTCCAGGCAGCACAGGAAGTATAACCTGGTATGGCTAATGAAGCCTGGCTGCTATCAACACATCCCCACACGCTTCCTGAATGAAAATCGGCAGGTTTTCTCATGTGTAGGGATTTTCCATAATAAACCTTCCTACGCCACACTGAGAAAATATCCAAAGAAGGGGAAATATGTAGGCCAAAAAAGCGTGTGAGGCAGTCACTGAATGAGGCAGAAACCAAAGCTGCCTGATAGAAACAAACATTCCCCGAGATAAAAAAGATACCATGACTGCCCTTGCATACTTTCTTTTATACTCCCCTTAGAGCTCAGGCAGCATGTCAATGTGTATTAACTCATCAATTGCTACACAATGTCCGTCTTCCCTGCATTCATTCCTTGTATTGTATTTGTGTGTTGCACAAATGGGAATAAGTTCTGGGATCAGCGGGGTCTGATTTAGACCCAACATCAGATCAGACAGAAATTGTCACTGCAGTCTTCTTTATCGCCCTCTCCGTATTTTATTTTGCTCTGCATGCTTGATCTCATCAGCTCTCAGATTTCTATCAGGATATTCCAGGTTAGGATGCATCGCTCAGGAGTTCTTGCAGAAAAAAATGATCTCATTTTTAGGGATGTGGTGATTCTTACTGGTTTCACTATAATTTGATGGCTTTTTGTTTACATGTGAGAACTCTGGTGAGCTTAGAGTTTGGATCATTATGGCCCTGAAGTATTGTTTGAAACTGTTTGCTGGCTCTTGCATATACTATGGCTTTATTATATCACTCAGCAAATAATTACTTGTAAAATCCATCTGCCAGTTCAAAAAGCACTTAGTGGTTTGACTCTCATCAACATCTCCGACTTGCTCAGTGTCTGTAACCCAACTAGACCTCCCAGGTCATCAGCTGCAGATCTTTTCCCAGAATAAGATAGAATAAGATCCAAGTATGCTGACGGTGTTTTTACTTACTGTGGTCCTGTTCTTTGGAACAAAACTACCAGCACCAACTATGTCTACATTTAAAAATGAACATTAAAACCTTTTTATTCTCACATACTTACAGTGTTTGAGTGTTAATTTGTATTCTATATCTTGTAAAGTTTTGGTTTTATTACCTCAAAACATAGTAGATCTACATACATTTTTAGCTTTTTTTTTTTATCAGTAAGCACATTGTGTTTATGTGGAATGAAATGTGCTATATAAAATTAAAATAATAATAAAATAATAAAACTGACACAGTTTGGAAAAAGTAGTGTGTTAGCATTCAGCAAAATCTTTAACAGGGATATTGTAATGTTTACTTAGCTTCTTACTGACCTTCTCTGCCATCATCATAAATCATGAAGTAATAAAAAATATATATATAAATATACGTATTTATTGACCACTTTGATCAAACACATATCCGTTCAGTGGTTGCCTGCAGGCTCTGCCTCTAATTTCCAAACATCACTCTCCCGTCCCTCTGTCTGAGCTAACCTATTGTAGTGTCAACTACAGGAAATGATGAGGTCAAAAACTTGACACCATATATTTAACTCACCCTTTGACTGACTGATATTTAGAAATATACTGCATGCTGTGCAGCTCATGAGGCACACTTAAAAGTCCGACAACGTATAACTTCTGAAGCCATCCATTTACTCAGTACAGACACACTATGTTCTGCTTACTGTACCCAGAATGAGTTCTTGTACCTAAAACTAAGCAAGATCAGCATAGTGTCTTTGCAGCTATCCATCATTAACAAAGCTTGTGATTAATAAGCTAGTATAATATACAGCATAAGGAATATCAAAATACCAGTTTTTGTTTTAATTAATGATGAAATTAGAGGGAAAAATTGCTTAGAAATTCAAATGGGGGTATGGTCTGAGTTCAAACACAAACTGCTGCATATCACATCTCATATTTCACTGTTACTTTTATTCATTCATCCTTCTAATATCCAGAGTCATCTATTAACCAAGCTCAATAAGAAGAAATTGACCAAGCCTTAAGAAAAAAAATCATATGGGTAAATTACTGTTCAAACTAAGTGACATATTTGTGCCTGACTGGGGCACCCTGACCCAGGATCTCATGGGAAATGACATATTTTCTGCTTTGTATTACTGTCACCATTTTTGCCAAAGGATAACACTGATGATTTTTGTAGATGACCCGAGTTTGACTTAAAGTCCCAGTTGAGAGTTTTTGATAGGCCACTATGTAATGTGAGCTATGGATAGTGACAGCTGGGACAGAAGAAGCAAGAGGTCGGAAATAACCTCCATTTAGTCTCTCCTAGTCTCTCTTGACCTTTGTTTGGATATATGGTCAGGAGCAGTAGTAGTACTCAAGGAGTACAATGTAAAGGCAATGACGGCGATTTTTAGCATAATCTTTGAACTCTGGAATCATAGATTGGCTAATCTCTAGAGTTTGTAGCCTATCCCAGCTGACATAGGCTGAGAGATTGCCATTCTATCGTAGAGCTATAAACATAATATCTTCAGTTACAATAAAATAATATTTGTCCTTGTTAATATTATTGGAGAGTACTGATATGCAGATATCCAAACTTATGGGACTGTATTGCATGGACATCACAATGTAACAACAATACAAACAGAAATATTATAAAGTACGAAACCTTTTGCACAACAGTATCTTGTGTAATAATAACCAGATATATTCTTATGTAATTTTGATACTTTTCTTCATGCAGTGCAATGTAATCAGGAGACAGAGCTGATCGGGGACTTGTTCAAAAACTACAACAAGAATATACGTCCAGTATTACATCCTGAAGACAAAGTGGGGGTTCAGATCAAGCTGACCCTCACTAATCTTATTTCCCTGGTAAAAGCTTCATTTTGCTACTTTTAGCAATAATTCTTTTCCACATATTAAGAATGTATGAGCATTACTTAAGGGTGGAAACATATTCAAAAGCACTACGGTTAAAAAATGCGATTAATAATAATCTCTCTGGTGTGCATTTATCACAGCCACTATCACGTGAGCTACACAGCTCAATCGATCTCTTCTCTCATTCCTACAGAATGAAAAGGAGGAGACTCTTACAACCAATGTGTGGATTGAGATTGTGAGTTGTATCTCTCTTCTTGGTTGTCATTTTCCTTTCTTTGTTTGAGAGTTTTTGGTAGAAGGTATTTCTCCCTCGTCTTTGTCCAGCTTTTAATATCACTGCTGATCTTTTTCTCAAACCACAGCAATGGGATGATTACCGCCTTGCCTGGAATGCATCTCAGTATTATGACATTGAGGTTATTCGTGTCCCGTGCAAAACTGTCTGGCTTCCCGATATAGTTCTTGAAAACAAGTAAGGCAGTAACAAAAAGGAGCGCAATTCTGTCTCTTTTGTTTTTTGCATTCTGGACAGTTTGTTTGATAACCGGTTCTGGTCTTTGTCCACAGCATTGATGGCAAATTTGATGTGGCCTACTATGCCAATGTGTTGATCAACAGTGTTGGTGAGATTTACTGGCTGCCTCCTGCTATCTATCGCAGCACATGTGCCATTGAGATCACCTACTTTCCGTTTGATTATCAAAACTGCACACTTGCATTCAGGTGGGATTTATTTATCATTTGAAATCTACGTTTATACTATATGTCAGTCTTTCTTTATGCATTTGCTTCTATTAAACTTTGGCTTGATTGCCACAACCGTAGATCCCAGACTTACAGTGCCAATGAAGTGGATCTTACCTTGGCTGTTGGAGAAACGGGGGAGATTATTGAATGGGTGGACATTGACCCTGAGGCTTTCACAGGTACTGTAAATACACCATCCATCCATCCATCCATCCATCCATACCTCAGTCCACATTAACAATCATAATATTCAAGTTTTGAAAGCTTACAATTCCACTTCAGGTTTCTGCATTTACACCCTTTAGAGAATGGTGAATGGGCCATTGTCCATCGTCCAGCCAGGAAGATGATCAACAGTCGGTATTCCCCAGATGACCTGGAGTATCAGGAGATCTTGTTCAATCTGGTCATCCAAAGGAAGCCGCTGTTCTACATCATCAATGTTATCCTGCCCTGTTCCCTTATCTCGTCTCTGGTCGTACTGGCCTACTTCCTACCTGCACAAGGTCAGTAAAGTCAATGCTTTTGCTGTTTCACTACTAAAGTTTGAAACATGCCAGATGAACACATTTGTCTCATAATTTTCTGTATCCAGATGTAAAACAAAACAATAATGAACTTGATTTGCTCTCCATAATAATTTTAAAACGATTTGGACTTAGCCTTTTTATTGTGTTTGTCACTAATTAATAAAAACTAATCAATAACTGCTAATTCAAAAGTAACTGAACCACAGAACCTAAAGGTTTGACGTGGAAAGCATTCAGCTAAAGCTCTAAGACTGATGTTACTGTAATACAGCTGACTTTTAAGTCTTAAATCATGAAATATTACAAAGCATTACTTGATGCCTGAAGTAGATGAAAGAGAAGAATGTCCTTTTTTTTTTTTTTTTGTCCAACCGGTCTAACTCTCTGCTGCTCCCTCACAGCTGGAGGACAGAAGCTGACCGTGTCCATCTCTGTTTTGCTGGCTCAGACTGTCTTCCTCTTTCTTATCGCTCAAAAGATCCCCGAGACCTCTCTGTCTGTCCCTCTAATTGGAAAGTGAGTCAGCATGTCCTCTCTGCTGACCCCTGCTGGTTTGTTTTGCTTCAATCCAAACAGTTTGAGCCTGCCCTCCAACAAAGATCTCTCTAATGTCTTCCCCAGGTACCTGATCTTCGTGATGTGTGTCACTACTCTCATTGCTACGAATCAAATTGTAGTGCTGAACTTCTCACTGCGAAGCCCCAGCACTCACAGTATGTCCCAAACCCTCAAACATGTAAGTGCCCTCCACAGAGATGAGTAAACTTGTTTTTTAAAGTGACTGTTGTTAACTTCTATTGCCTGCTGCAGCTATTCTTGAAATTAGTTCCTCGCTTCTTGGGCATGTCTCCGCTGGTGGATGATAGTGAGGTGACAACAGAGGTAAATGGGGTGAGGGAGCGGCGGCGCAGCTCCTTTGGCCTCATGCAGAGAGCAGAGGAATATGTGCTCAAGCAGCCTCGCAGTGAAATGATGTTTGACAAGCAAAGAGAGAGGCATGGTCTGACGCGATCCATTGGTAAGACCGTTGATTACAAAGCAACACTCAGCACAGTCTTTAGCTCACATTTCAGCTCAAATACTTAAATATTTGAAAATCAAAGTAGAAAATGTATCTGGTTTAATTAGTGCTGATCACTGCAAATTGTCATCTAACTCAGTGTCTTCCTCCCTCTAGTGGACAGTATAGATGTCAGCAGCACCGCTAACCTATATAAGAGTTTGGCCCAAGCTGCACCTGAGATTAAGCAATGTGTGGATGCCTGCAACTTCATTGCTGACAGTACAAGGCAACAAAATACCATTGGCTCTGTGAGTGTTTGTTTTTTTAACTCAACTTCAGTGACGTTTTAGATGAGTAATATTTTGCAGTCAATTTTCATTTTATCCTCACTTGAACTTAAGCTTTTGTTCACCTTCTTTCCAACTCAAGGAAATTGAAAGCTGGGTCTTGATCGGGAAAATGGTCGACAAGGTGTGTTTCTGGGCTGCTATTTCTCTATTCATCATCGGCACAGTGTGGATCTTCCTAACAGGACACTTCAACCGTGCCCCAGAATTACCATTTCCAGGAGAGAGTAAAAAATATGTCCCAACTTAAAAAAGGAGAGAAAAGAAATTTGTTTCTGTTTAATGTTTTCAAGGTATATTTTGCCTCGTGCTGTTTATGATGATGAACGCAATGTTGTTCACTGATCCCATGGTTAAGATTCAGGGCTGAGTTAAGTCTGTGTTTAATAACAACAAAACCTTCTGTTTCCATGCTTGTCAAGCACCTGAGCATCAACATTCAACGTTTCTTAACTTCTAAACTAAGTTGTCAGCATTTCTATATTAAATCATCATTATTAAATCACAATTATTTTGTTAGTTTTGGGGTTTGAGAATGTATGCAAGCCCAGACTTACAGCTTATGGATGCATTTTGAAGAAAAAATGTTAAGGGCACTGCACCACTGTGCAAAGGGATTTAATTCTATTGCAGAAAAGGACTTTTATGACTTTGTTTTGCATAACATGAAGCTACAGGCACTGTATGCTTTAACTAAAGAACCCATTTTACTTGCATGACCGTCTACAAAACACTCAGAAAACATATCCCTGCACACATATTATGTCTTATGGTCATTATCTTTATATGTAACATGAGCCAACCAACTCTAAATCAAAGCCTTATTCTTCTTACTATGACTTATTATTTGGAATGTATTGCTTACAGTAGATGGCTCAGTGGGACACTGTTTGGCGTTAACTGTACCAGGACTTCTTTTTTAAAACAAACAAATTCTTTAGTTTATTACAAAGTGTGTGTTTTAATCTTGAACTGAATGTCTAAGTAGGTGTTTTATATGTTTATACGTCAGACAGTGTGAATCTGCAAAGTGTGGCTAAAACCTAAAACTGTGATCATATTTTTTACAGTTATTTTGAGTGGTGTTACTCAGCTGATTCAATAAATGTGACAGAAATGGGCTAGCAAACAAAAACAAGTCTAAACACGGTTGAGATTTCACACACTGAAGACTTGAATGGTCTATGGTTGTTTTTCTGTTCGTGTCCAGCTGTGTTCAAAGTTACACAGTTGGGTATTTAGGGGAGATATTCTATAATATAGTGTGTTTATGGCAAAAACAAAGGAAAGCTCACATCGAATAAGTTTGGATCTGCTATCAGGTTGTATTCATTTTATAATGTGTCTTGCTTTGCCCCAGTACTCAGAAGCTGTTCAAAGTCAGAGAGAGTCAATATGACTTAAGGGGAACAGATTTCTTTAAAAAAAACAAGATAAGGACAAATATAAAGCAGAGATGTGTTTCTGTTAGAGGAGTTAACCTGTGGAA